AACTCTAGACCGGGCGTGTGCTAAAAATAGCAGCGCTTTTCAAAATTCGAACAGTTGCACCTACCGCCACCAGCCCCATTTCCACACACACAATCTCCCTGAGCCCTTTTGCAGGTCCGTGTTCGTCCACTATTTGCCCTCGATGAGCAGACGATTGGCAGTTGGGCACCACCCGCGCCGAGATGCAAGCTGCGCTGAGTAGGCTTGGTCGCTGCCGCTCTTCGGCTTTTTGCAAAATGTCCAGTGTCCCACCTTTGACGACTTTTCATGCATCGAATTACTAATGGAAAATCTGAAATCAATTAGGAATGTAGATCCAGCACCCATCTTTTTTTTTTTTTTTTTTTTTTGAGAGAAAATTCAATATATTTCAAATATGGGTAAACTTTGAGGCTGGGGAGACCTCGCAATTCAACCCGGAGTGACGTATCCGGGCTAGCCATTCGACCACCGATCCATGCGAAGGGAACAAATAAACCTGAAAGCAATCAGGGGCTAGTGGTGCCTGCTCTTACCAGCACACCTAGCTCCACCTCGGGTGTTTTCTCTTCAAAAAAAAAAAAAGAAAAAAAGAAAAGAAACACACCTTGAAAGCAATTAGGAACATAGATAGAGTGCTGAGGGGAGGATGGGGAAGTGGGGGGGCATAAAACAAAAAATTCTGCACAGTCCTTAGGGACATCTGCCAAAGTTGGAATGACACACACACACAGAAGATAAGTCTGGCCCATGTGCAATTATGGCACACAAAAATCGAGAAACGGTCCAAAAAAAAAAAAAAAAAAAAAAAACACGAAGAAAACTTGCATCCGAAAAGAATGCCGGCAGCGAAACTAAGCCTTTTCTTCCACCCTGGTGCTACCACCAGAGGCCCACATCGTTTTCTTTCGGTGGGACCGGCTCCGAAAGAACGTGCCAGTTGACGGAAATAGCGTCCAGGGCAGTGGTGGTTTACCCGGCAGGGGGCAGGGGCTTTTCGAAATGCTGGGCCGCCAACTGGCGGCGGTTTGAGGGAAAATTCAAAATTGAAAATTCAGATTTCAAATTCAAGTTGCAGACATTTCACCGGTGTCTCATCAAATACAAATACCTTTTTCTTTTTTCTTTTTTTTTGTGCACAGGTGAATCATCAGAAGCCGCAAAAACTCGTTATATCATTGATGAAATGAGAGGGGACACTCACAATTGTGACCCGGATGGAGCTAGCTGGGGTTAAAATTTACCCTTCCTTCAGCAGATAAAGAACTGCTGGAACTTGGGCCCAGCATCCCACCGTCATAGCATCACCGCATCCTCCTCTTCTCCCCCACAGCCATTTGCCAAAAGATTTATTATCATACAATTGAATTGAAAACTCGGAAATGAAGGCGAGACCGAGAAAGCAATACAAGCCTAGATTCCTCATTCCTCCTTTTTTTACCCAGATACAAGCATCACACCTACACAGCTTCAAACTTGCTCTGTACAATCTGATGGATACCACACACAAAAAAAAGCCCCCGCCAAAAAATACCAAAGCCCTTCCCAGACAACCCATCCTCAGAGCAGACCTGTCCTTGCAGCCTCAGCAATGCTACCATCTTCACCCGAATAGAACGCCCCGTCATTATCGCTGTATTTGGTGCAACTTTCAGTCTCGATAGAGTCGATACCGTGATAATGACCGGGCGTTCTCTTTTATCGTTACTATACCCATTCATAAGTGCCTTGAGCTCACACCTCCAGCAAGCTGTTACTCGGCATCACTACTCTACTCTATTAGACCCCATATCGAGCCCGGATTTCCTTGCTTCACGGGCCGAAGGGCCGACCAATGTGGCCGTCTTTCGGGTGAAGACAGTAGCCCCTCCCCTTTCCCCCATCCTTCCGAGATTCATTCCCAACTACGATGCTCTCCCATTCTAGCCCGGCAGAGCGAAACCCCATCACACTCAATCACTCTAACCTGCCCCCCATTCCTCCTAAAAAGACCCCCTTATTGCCATCACCACAATATATCAACAACCCCCCACCAAGGCCTTGCCTATCAAGGGTAGGCCCACTCCGCCATCCTTACGCGATCGATAGCCTCCGATTCTGGCCAGCAAAAGGAGCCACCCCACGTTGCAGGAGATGGACCCCGCCTGACAATCTCTCACTAGGCCCCTCACACGTCCAGACAGCCCATCCCGCCCCCTTATCACCATCACCACTATACATTACGCTTATTACCAACCCCAATAAGACCCCCCCCCCCCCCCCCCCTTCCTGCTCCTCCCCCTATCGGAAGCTGATACTTGTGACAAGACCGCCGAGGAGCAACCCCCTCTTCAAACCATCCCCCACTATCGACCCATACCATCTCAACAGGAGGAGTTAATTACCCCCCTTCCCCTTCCGTTTGTCATTGCCAGATGTGGGTTTTCATGGACTGATTATTGTATTTTATCTTCACCCAAAGAGCCGAAAACAGTTTTCATCAAAACCTCATTTTCACCTTCCACCCACTCACAGCAGCTCAGTCATTGTCACACTGATACTCATTTTTGAGCTACCACTGTTATCCGTTTCCTGCTCTGAGTGCTCTCTCTCTTTTTTTTTTTTTTAGTTTTGCATT